TTGAAAAAACAAAAATCGTTTATCGTTGACCACACTTTCAATTGTGGATTAATATTTACATTGACGGGTGTTTTATCAAGCTCGTCAAAGTATTTTGCTAATAAAAATGATTCAATAGACAATCGCTGGGCCATATTTGAAGATGGATTCATTAGAATATTAATTGATTTAGCATAAACATCATTAGAATATCGATATAACTGTATTTTATGGCGTATGTCAAGCTTCGAAAATAAATGAGCACAAGTGATAACAATAAAAAATGTCTTATCTGTTGAGCGCTCTTTTAGTAGAGGTGTCAAACGAACTGCTGTGATATCTCTATAACCGTGTTCAAGTGGATATTCATCATTAGTTTTATAAATAAATGCAATTTTTCCAACACTAGTTGATATAATTCCCAAATTTTTTTTCAATTCGTCACTGTCTGTAAATAGTTTATATACACCAATTCCTGGTCTTTTGGGTGCATATACCCGTAATAATGGATCAATTGATTTTAAATCGAAATCTATGTGAAACTTATTATTGCTATTGAACGAGTACGAATGACAAAATGTATGCGAACCAGAAATTACTAAACAAACATTGGCACCATCGATCGCTATTTCATCGTCATCTTCATATTGGTATTGTTTGATACAGGTGCTGTGACAATTATCCATTTGTTGAATGAATACTACAGTACTACTATAAAACATAGGTATAATAACAAACTAACAAACATAACAAATACATGCAAGTTAAAACGTACGCTTTCTAAGGCGTCGCTACTTCACAGAAAAAGCCTTCTTATCCCTCAAATAACAGATAAAAGCTCTTTACCCTAAGACGAGAATTTAACATTTATTTAGTATTTATCGGCATTGAAGCCTGAATATAAAGTAAAGATTGAGTCACTACTACCAGCTCAATTCACAGAGCTTCCAACAAATTATAAGGCTATTTATACAGGTTTTTATATATTCAAGCTCTCAGAAATATGTAGATACTTATGAAAGCGAAATTTTTTCTGAACATATAGATTTGAAGTGCAGACCTTTCTGATCTTAATGAGACGTCGCACAACTCTGTATGATCTTGCATTAAAAAGTTACAAGTATTTTCCTACATGTCCGAAAATACATCTATCAATGCACAACGTTTTCTCTCAAAACATGTTTTTTGTGTAAATCCGCCTACTGTAGAACCCTTCTCTTAATAACCGGTTATCATAGAAAAATAATTTTTTTAATCGAAACAGTATAAA